TATCAGTTATAGAGTGGCTCCATAATGATTTGCCATCAAGAACGACAAACAAACAGATCATACAACCTCAAATATGTATTAGATACATGAAAAATTGCCAAGCGTATTGTGTCTTCAGTCTTTGCCCTAGTGTATAACAGTTACTCAACCTACACTTTCAACTGTAACTTGTGACTAATGGTTACAGCCTACATCTACAGAGTTAACAATTGTCTCTCCATCAGCAATTTATGTTGATGCACTTAAAGCATCCATAAATATAATGAGTTAACACATTGGACGACGCCATTCGAGCGGAGATGCCCCCGCGCATTTGAAGAAAATAACGAGTAAAGGCGTCAATGAACGGAGATATTCCGTCAGTTGTGTTTTCATTAGCACATCATAGATGGGCAGCCCAGTACAACAGCCCATAGACCAAAAGTCTCATGTCACCAGTCCAGTGAACTTATTTAATCAGAAATGATCTAGGCGATGCAGGGTTTGTGTAACAGCCGTTGATTACGTGGACGAGACTCGTTAGCATAGCTGCATCAAGTGTGCTGTTCCAAGGGTGGAATGTTTTGGCCGACCTATCATTCTTGTCAAAAACAATTATTGCCGGGCCAGTCTATGTCGAGCCCCGCCATCCCTAAAATGCGGCCCGCTCACGCTAGAAAATCATAACGCCATTGCTGGTGTATACCAGAAGGTCAAACAATTAATACATGTCTATGCTACTGAGTACGGCAGTCCACACACGAAGTACAGATTAGTCACACCTCATCCCTAACACTATACACTTAAACACTGAACTCTAAAACCGATCTCGGCATCATGTACGAGTGTTATAGTACTAAAAATTAATCTTATGGTGGTATAACGCTATTTGCTTTAAATATTTTTGGCATCTGAACTGACAATACATCGTCCCAACCAACTGTGTACGGCTAGCTTGGCACAATATGTTCATTTTCATACTTTAAATCCGAGTAGTGTGTTTCTAGCTCATCAAGAAATCTTAATTTGATAACGTGATTAATTTCGCAAACGCGCATTCTATACGGGGGCAGGTAACCCAGTCTATACACGAGGTAGAGTAGACTGGTACCAATCTTCACGACCACTCCTGCCATTGTCATATGGTGACAATTTTTTTTTTTTATTATGAGGAGCTGAACTCGATTTGGAAACGCAGGAAACCAGCAAGTTCACCCTACATTTTGGTATTTTTATTCCATAATTATTTTGAATTCTTCGCGATGCTTTGCCTAGGCAAAACAAACATTTTCACCCACATGCAGTGCTTCAATTTACATGCAGCACGAGTGTCCAGGATTAGCAATCTCAGAGCTTCTTACAATTCAAAATTTTTAACGCTGGACATCGCCCCTGGACCCCTAGGCAGTGAGTAGCACCCCCAGATGCTGAAAATGTTAAAAGCTTGGAGAACGCTGGTATATATATATATATATAATATATATATTCAGGAGTAGATTAATAGGGAAGGAGTGTGACATCAAATAAACAAGGAAATTCCGTCATTTAACTACGCCTTATAATACGCTCGATTTACTACGCGTAACTCATCCAAACTTAGGAGCTCAAATCGGACACAGTACATTCGCCGTAGCAAATCGTGCAAATCGTTTCCCTCGTATACACGCCGGCGCTCCGCAGAGCGCGCAATCCGGAGATACAGACTAAAACGTATGACACGATTCTCCATTCTTGGCCATCAATTCCAAAATCTCATTGCGGCGCCTCTAATTCATAACAAAAGGGCAGCTACGGCTAATGACGCACAGCTTGGCTAACTCGCAGGGCCAATGTGGGCTGCGCTGGGAAGATTTGAGACCGCGATCCAGCATGGCTTAGCTGATTGGCGGTTGGCGTGCGTGCGTGAAGGCATCCAGCTATGTGGCAAGGTGGCCTGTGTAGCTGTGTACGGCAGGGTCAAAGGTTATCTCGGGGCAGAGTGTTGATGCCGAATTTCGCCAGCGAGCCACATGCGCTCGCCGAATTAGCATAGCGCGGTCTTAGGTAGCTGGCCTTTGTTTGAATTAAGAGGCACGCATATGGATTTGGATGAGGCCAAAGAATGGAGAATCGTGCATACGTTTAGGTCTGTATGCTCCGATGCGGTGTTATACGAGGCGAACCTAAAGACAAAAAAAAATACAACTCTATTTTTTTGTTCCGGGACGATGCTAGGCGAATGTAGCTGTGTTCCGATGTTGAGCCAAGTTGGATGAGTGGTATCGCATAGTAAAATCGTAGGTATTATAAGAGCTAGTAAATGACGAAATTTCCTGTTTATGATGTCACAGCTCCTTCCCTATATATCTACTCCTGATATATCATATATTAGTCCAAGATAGGGCTTAAACGAGCCAGCTCAAACAGAGGTCAGGGGGCATAAAAAATAGACCTTGATCATGGGCCTCACATGAACTCTTGTCGAGTACTGCGTGTGTAGATTATAATATAGTGCCACCACTACTATAAAAGGATTTAATTAAAAATTATTGTGCAACCAGTGCATCAAATCAAAAATAAGCACTCAAATCTAGAGAAATAATAATGTTTATGTATAGAGTGTAAATGTTTACTTGTAAGCGAACTTGCAATCAACGTGTATGTGTAACATTTAAAGTTCATAACACACACACACACACACACACACACACACACACACACACACACACACACACACACACATATATTCTATATATAATATATATACAGGGTTCTCCAAGCTTTTAAATTATAGCATGGGGGTGCTACTCACTGCTAGGGGGGTCCAGGGGCATGTAGCGTAAAAAATTTGAATTGTAGAAGCTCTGAGATGCAATCTGGGACACTCTGTGTGTAAATTTGAGGCACTGCATGTGGGATGAAAATGTTTGTTTTGCATAAGCAAAGCCATCGGAAAATTCAAAATAATTAATGGAATAAAAATACCAAAATGTAGGGGTGAACTTGCTGGTTTCCTGGTTTCCAAATCAAGTTCACCTCTCATAAAAAAAAAAAATTGTCACCATTGACAATGGCAGGAGTGGTCGGTAAGTGTACCAGTCTACTCTACCTCGTGTTAGACTGGGTTACCTGCCCCGTAATAATGCCGTTGGAAATTAATTCACGATTAAGATTTCTTGATGAGCTAGAAAACACTCGGATTTAAAGTATGAAAATGAACATTATTGTGCCAGCTAGCCTACACCAGTTGGTTGGGATTGATTGTCAGTTCAGATGCAAAATATTTAAAGTAAAAGGTTATACACCATAGATTAATTTTGGTACTATAACATGCGTACATATAAGATAGCCGAGTCGGTTTAGAGTCAGTGTTAGTGTTAGTGTTAGGGATATGGTGACTGCCTGTACTTGTGTGTGGGACTGCCGTACTCGTAGCATCGACATGTATTAATTGTTTGAACTTCTTGTGTATACACCAGCATGGCGGTTATGATATTTAGCGTGGCGGGTGCATTTTAGGATGGCGGGGCTCGACGATAGCCTGGCGGGCCGCCAGGCTATAAGTGCCCTTGGAGAAACCTGATATAGGGTTAAGGTTAGTCAGAAATAGCTAAACGACCCAGGTCAAACAGAGGTCAGGGGAACATAGACCGTACGAGCCATGAGCTGCTTATATAAACATAAGCATCATACTATCTCACACGTGCACGTTCTAAAAGTTTCAACTTAATAATGATAGTTTACAAGTTACAACGAGTTTACTAGGAAGGAAGTGAAGGAACAAGTACAGAAGAATGCGGTCAATTAAGCTTTAAGAGCAGAAAGCAGGTATGATTGAGAGGTAAATGTTCAGGCTTTACGGCAATTTATGGTAAATATAAGTATATTGTCACTACGTAATTAGTTACATTGCACAATATCCTTCTAAACAGTGTATACATATTAATGTTCAGCCCATGTGGGGATGTGAGGCCCATCACAATCTATCGACTTTTCAGAAATGGGTAGCACTAGTCTACCACGTTAAGAGATACTAGTGGCTGGATACTTAACTAATTGTCAGAAACGTTGAGCACATTGAGCGCGACAATTTTTCAAAAAGGTAACCAGCCAGCGCCCACAATTTTTGGATTTTTGACAAATTTAATTTTTCTAAAAAAAAATTAACTAGCAAGGCTAGAGCATCCCTTTATATATGTTTCTAAAGCTGGTGATATGACTGAACCAATAAAAGAAACCTTTTTGTGATATCTCTCTTTGTATTTTTCCACCAAGTATTTGAAAATGGCTTAATTTCACAAAAAATGCTCAAATTTCAACAAAAAACGTAATTTTAACAAACTTTTTAGATTACACATATATTCTATGAAAAATGCAACTTATGAAACAACCCGGGTAATACAGGTTAGGTATTTCCTTTCATAGGAATGATCATCAAATCTAACAGGTATTATTTTGAAGAATGATAGGCTGCAAAACTTCACCTTTGTGAATGGAACAGCACATTGATGAGCTATCGTAACGAGTCTCGCCACGTAATCAACGCGTTTACACAGACCCTGATCGGCTAGATCATTTCTGATAAAATTAATTCACATGACTGTGACATGAGACTTTGTCTATGGTGTTTGATGGGCTGCCATCTATTGATTGCTAATGAAAACACCAACTGACCGGAATCTCCGTCATTGCGCTTTACTGTTATTTTTTCAAATGACGGGGATCTCCGTGCAATGGCCGCTCAATGTGTTAACTCATTATTTATTGATGCTTAAGCACAAATAAATTGCTGATTAAGAGACAGATGTGTACCTTGTAAGTAGGTGTAACCATTAGTCACAAGTACAGTGAAAGTTGTAGGTTGATAACTGTTACACTAGGCAAAAGACTGAAGACACAATACGCTTGGCACATTTCATGTATCCAATACATATTTGGGAATGTATGTCTGTTTGTTTGTCTGTTCTTGATGCAAATCAATATGGAGCACTCTATAACTGTTCAATGATGTTTAGTAGGGGCAAATTTTGATGCTGAATGTCATGGGCACATTGGATTTGACCACCGAGGTCATCTAAGCAAAAAGCACGAAAAAATAGAAAAAATAAATGGGCCCCTCCAGCAGCATTAAATAAACGGGCCCTGCAGTACAGGATTCAAGTCAAAACAGTCCAAACAGGATTCAGCTTGCACTGACTTTCCTGTTATTAAAGCTGCAGTAGATAAATAAATAAATAGATAGATAGATAGATAGATAGATAGATAGATAGATAGATAGATAGTTAGATAGATAATATTAAAATAGATACATAAATGATAGATAGATAGTAGATAGATAGATAGATAGATAGATAGATAGTTAGATAGATAAATAATAGATACGATATAGATAGATAGATAGATAATAGATAGATAGATAGATAGATAGATAGATAGATAGATAGATAGATAGATAGATAGATGGATAGATAGATATTTAGATATATTTTTGGAAGTATTTTTCTTTCAACCAAGTGGTCACCAACTGAGTGCTTTATTTCCCGGGCAACGCCAGGTATCCTGCTAGTTGGTCATATTATTACCTCTCAAACCTGATTGTTTGTCTGTAAACATCATGTACTGAACTGACACAGTATACCCTGTTGCTCAGGACTCAGTTGTGTATCATGCCATCTACACAACTACTATTTGTGCCGGCATCCCATTCGTGGGTGTTCTGGTTTTACTTATACCTTATGCAGATCTGGCCACGTCTTCGGTAGGATGTGGGTATGAATGTCCACCTTCATTCCAAGTTCCAATCTTCTATCTATATTTTGATATATATATATACATATATATATTGTTATTTTATAATTTTTTTACATGAAATAAATGATATAATATTCAATTACTAGTCAGGTTTTTTTCACAGGCCTTAAAAAGATATTGGGCCTGACATGACATTGAATTAGGCCTCCCTATTTGCAACATGCTATATGCTTTAAAGTGAGGATTTCTCATGATTTTACCAACCTTTTCCATATTTTCTCAGCCGTTCTGATACTTACTGGTACTCCTTGCATAGCACCAAATGAGTATAGAAACTAAACAAGGCTAACATGTCAGATAGCACTCGAACAACATTCTTTCCACCAACATGTGCATTTTCCACAGACATGCTATGTTTTAGTTTAATGCAGAGGTTCTTAACCTGTGGTCCATGGACCCCTTTGGGGTCCGTGAACCAGGCGCATTTGACACGCATTTATGTGCTTATGTGCATTTTTCTGGGGAGGGGTCTGTATAGCTTCCACCAGATTCTCAAAGGGGTCTTCAAAAAAGCATGACTCAAAAAAGGTTAAGAACCACTGTGTTTTAATATATACGTTTCTAAACTGAGTACCAGCCTTGTAAGGATTTTTTTAAAGGAATTTTTGTGATGTACGGTAATTTTGACTAATTTTTGGGAATCCTTAAGTGAGTATTCTTGTTGGGTTACATTCTTGGGTAGCTCTAGTACTATAGCCCGCGGGCTATAGTACTAGAGCTAATTCTTGGGTATCTAAACTGTACATAGCGGGTGCCGGGCACGAAGGAGACTACACTGCCATTGGTACTGGTGCTGGTAGAGCCATAAGCACTTGAAACGTTTCAATAAAAAAAGTTAAATAATTCGTGTTTATTTACCTTTTTATTGAGACGTACGTTCCGTGCCTGTGGCTGTGGCTAGCGCCAAGGTAGCTCTAGTACTATAGCCCGTGTACATTAACTGCCGCAGGGCTATAGCAATTGTCAGCTGGAAATAGCATCAACACCGGTTCCTAAAGTTCCCACAAAAAATTGCTTTACAAAACGCAAAATGATCGGGCTTTTTAACCCTTAATTATCTATCTACGTGGACATCTCACCTATCTTTTTGAACACTACACAACTTTAGACCATGTATTTATCCTTTTATTCCACAAAGTAAGCACTACTTCAAAATTCCGTTTGAAATGCTGTGTGTGCATGCGTGACGTCGCCTGAAATGTAGCTGCATCATAGCTGCCACAGTGTAGCTGCCATGTGTTTTGCCTATGATGCAGCTACATTTCGGGTGACGTCACGCGTGCACACACAGCATTTCAAACGGAATTTGGAAGTAGTGCTGGCACTTTGAGGAATAAATGCATAAATACCTTGTGTAAAGTTGTGGAAAGTGTTCAAAAAGATAGGTGAGATGTCCATGTTGATAGATAAGTGTTAAAAAGCCCGATCATTTTGCGTTTTGTAAAGCGATTTTTCGTGGGAACTTTGGGAACCGGTGTTGATGCTATTTCCAGCTGACAATGTGCTATATAGCCCTGCGGCAGTCAATGTACGCGGGCTATAGTACTAGAGCTATACTTATAGCGCCAAGGTAGCCCGACAATGCAGGCTGTGCGACCGATTGTCCATACCCCCCTACCCCCGTATGACCCCCCGTTTGTCTTCTAACCCTAGCAAGACCGTTTCTTGGAGCTAGAGCCAAGGATTGACGGGGCTCTGTTCACTATGATAATATCATTATGTTGTGTATGTGCCAGTTCTGGGGCCTCCAGGTTAGCCGTGTCTGTCTATTCACCCTCGACTAACTCTCAATATATTAAAAGTACGCTACGAGTTTCACCTCCGTACAGTACATAATTACGACCGTTCACTGCGATAATGTGTACATTCTGAGCTCAGACTTACCTTACAGCTACAATAAAATGACAACTCAATGTACGTGTTATTAGCCGCGTGTACATACACAAGATTTCGATCTATGGCGCTGGTGTTATGCGTGACACTAGCGCCGTCTAACGACAAATACGCAAAATGTTCCAGGTGGCGGATCTACGTCTAAACGTGGCACTGCCACTGCTTGGCCATCGCATGATAGCATCACTTAGCCGATTATATCATTGTAAATAATAATATCAACTATCAAGAGCTAATGCTACATAGAGTGTATATCAGGAAAACGGGAAAATAGTGTTATAATTAGCTCTTGGTCATATGTTTTGTCTCTTACTCTTTTATTTATGGCGTGGATAAATTTAGATACAATAATGTAACCCAAACCCAGGATAGACTGGATGGATGGACATGGGCGGATCCAGAGGGGGAGTCCAGGGGGTCCGGACCCCCCCCTTTTTTACCCCCAAAAAGGGAAAAAATGGAAAATACATAAAAGATAATTTTCTGCTTAAAAATTCCATCTTGGATTCTAGACATCAAAATTACTGCTCAGATGCTCTCAGAATACACAATTTTTTTTAAAATTCTTGGGGGAGGTCCCCCAAACCCCCTCCCCCCTAAGTCGCAAACGTGCCTTAGACACGCCGCATAAGCTGCCTTCGGCACCTTTTTAAAACACCAGAAAAATTAAGCAGGAAAAGTGCCCTTTATTTCTTACTGGACCCCCCCTTTTTCAAACAGCTGGATCCGCCCATGATGGACCAGGATGGACCCTATCCTGGGTTTGGGTTACATTATTGTATCTAGGATAAATTATGCGACCATGCAGAAGCTGTGCAGTAACTTTTATATAAGCCGTCGAAATACAGTGGTAATTTAAATTATACTGCACAGTATAATTTAACACTGTATTTCGACGGTTTAAATAAAAGTTTCTTCTCGTGCTCTCTTGGTTTACTCATGTTACGTATGATCGACTGTGATGGCGCCGGTAACTTTTGAAGTGTTTGACTATAGCCCTATACCCACCCACGCACGAACACACGTACGCACGCACACACACGCGCACGCACGCACACACACGCGCGCGCACGCACGCACACACACGTACGCAAACACGCACATACACTCAATTAATAATTGTGTTAATTACTTGGTTATGGAAATCATGTTGGTTGACATTAATAATAATAATTAATGTTGATTGTAATTAACATATCTGACGGGAGTGATTGGTCGCGACCTAGCTGTTAGATATAGTGGCGTTATAAAGCGCATTTTAGCAACGAAGTGTCGCGGAGACGAGTTTAGTTTGCGAGCGTAAAGAACGCGTAAAAACTAGTATATATAGCTAAACGGATATAGCAGCAATGTGCAAGGGGACCTCAGTGTTATTTTCCACCATGTAATATACATATATATATATATATATATATATATATATATATATATGCATAATATGTAAATTTTGTACGGCACCATAAGATGTCCGCGTAGCGTCGTATTTTCATTCCTTTATTATCCATGAAGTTGTCTTCACAATACAACGTCGCACATTACCAAGGTCACCGTTTAAAAGCATTACAGAAAAAAGCGCCGTGATGGGACGTCGACGGCGTACCACCGAATGAGTGCAGGATGACATTTTTAGAATAGTGAGAAAGATCAGCGATAGAAGTGTAAAGAAACCATTTATATTTTTTAACATTTTTTATTTAATTATGTACATTAGTCCAACAAGAAGACAACAGAATTACACATACGTAAGTACACACGGCGTTGTACTACACAGCTAGGTAAAACTTACGGGTAAATAGGAAATGACAGCTGTCAAGTCCTGTGTCAGCTCGTGACAATAGTTTAGGCCATCTCAGTAGGTAAATGCTGACCAATGAGGTCGAAATAAACACATCCACAGTAAAACGACAAAACCGCACAAATGCCCCCAGTTTAGTTTTTGTGTCAACACAAATACAAATTGGGACAAAATCCCCAGTACACGTCCATATGGCTGTATTCACGCGAAACATGAAAACGACGATATTCACTAGACACCAGTATGTAACACAAAATACTGAAATTCAATACTTACGTACTTTCCTAACCTAGGGACGCATTTTCCTAACGTAGGAAAGCACGGGTGAACACCGGCCAGACAGAACGAACAAAAGTTTTCCATCAAAACCACACATCGATAGTCTGACTCAGCCCTGCACAACCTATATGCTGCATGGCTACTGGATCATATTATCCCGTGTCGAATTCTCTGCAAATATACTGCCATTTGTACGAGTACTAGTGTGTGTGCGTGCGTGCACGTCCGACTGGACTGGCCGTGACTCAGCCAGCTTTATTGGTCAGATAAATGCACTTACTATAACAATGTCACGTCTTACAGCCACACCTGACTTGAAACATGAAGAAGGCAGAATGAACTGCGTAAGAAGGTGCTATTAAAGCCGGTATACGACATAAAGTATTCTTATATGATAGACCCTCTACAATAACTCCGGGCTTGTGCAACAAGCTCTTGTAAACGGCAAGTAACCAGATTCGACTTAACCACCAATAACATATCATCAATAAGCAAGGCCATATATATATATATATATATATATATATATATATATATATATATATATATATAATATATAGTTTGCCGCTAGCGAACAAATTAGACGTTTTCATACATTCTGATGGGCAATATACGCGTGATAAAATAACAAACTGTCACACCAAAAAAATCTGCAATGTAAATAATACTGTAACAGCAAAGTTGTTCATACAAAATTGTCTGAATAAATTAAGGTAAATCGTCATCCCGAAGAGACTACCCAATCCTAGGCAATATTGTGTGTTCATACTAAAGTTCCTGATCTCGGTGGTATCAACCGTAGATGAATGCACAAGTGCAGTTATATCAAGTGCAGTTATATTACAATCGTAACTTCGTTGCTGTCCGATTAATTAAATCACGAGCATAATCTGTCGAAACGGGGTTACTTACTCCTACAATTTTTGTGGGAGTAACTTTACTTTCTTACAATTTTTTACACTATTACAAACTAGTGTCCATTGATAGCAGCTAGCCCATCTCACGAAAACTTCTTTCACCAACAAGGTAAAGGCATTAACAGTTCTACGGAGATCATAATTGTACGCAACAGCTTATATATATAATTATGTACACCGAAATCACTGCCAGTAATAAGCACTTCATAACTAACGGACTGATACCGAGTGATGATCTATAACATTACAGGACAAAGGTAGGCCATTGAACCGTTCATCACTGCTAATTTGTGTGATGTCGGAGGCATTTGAATCTAATCTCTATCATTAACCTGCGACTAATGACGTGCGACTTCATCAAAACATCGTGTTCACTTACAAAACAATTCGACTGAATGGCTCAATGCAAAAGGCACCTTGAATTGGTAAACTGAATATAGCGTTGGCGCCTCAATTAAATCCAGCAGCTCAATATTTCTCAACATGTACGCAATAGTTAAATGCTATTTACAATGATGACTTATATAACATAGTGCTTTTGTAATATTTTTTTTATAATAGTTGTAATAGCTATATTCTTATTTAGGACTATTAATTACAATCACCTAAATAGGCCATATCAGATCATATTAAAACAACATCCACTGTTGCTCACATTTTGGTAGCTCGTCCCTCCCAACCCTTTCATAAACATATCTTCATCAAAACTACCTTAAAAATTCCCCACTTTATACTTATAAAAAGTACCGTCATCTTATACCACATTTCCTATTCAGCCCATGCGCATATGCTGCAACATTTGACAACAAGTGATAATGTGTGATTACATATATATACATATATATATATATATATATATAACACACATATATATAATAGGAGCCCCACTGTTCTGACTCTACTTCTGCAAAAAATCGCACCGAAAATTCACATACAAGACCTTACAGCATATTTTAGCCATGCCACAGATAAATTTCTTCCACCGCATATTGCTAACCTTTATATCATGCTTCATCCTATCTATAAACTATATTTTAAACTATATCTCAGCATAATAACAAACAAACAAATCTTCACAGAACTAATGTCAGAACAGTTAGGTGGAGTTCTACATCCACCCCGAGTCTTCCACCTATATATATATCTTTATGGACTTATACAATTGGTCCTATATTAATTGGTACACGAGAGTGAATAAAATATATAACTCGAATAAAGTGTACAATAACAAAATATAAATAACAATGAACGACAAGTAACGGGGGGAGGGGGGGATATCTAACTCCGGTTTAGCTGCTGGATTTCTCCACTTTGATTGGTATGCAGCCGAGTGGGATCAAGGATCCTGGATGCTTCTCTGAGCTCTTTGTGCTTAGGTTGAGCGGCTCGCACCGATCCATCGTCGGTCTAGGGGGCGCCACGTGAGGCTGCATGGTCACTGGGTATGTGGGCCTGGTCATGCCTGGTGGGAAGAATGTCGAGAACTGCGGCGAGTACGCCAGCGCGCCGCCGCCCACCGTCATGCGCGGCGCGTACGCCGCGCCGGGCCGCGTCGCCGCGGAGACGACGCCGGCGTCCCACGCGCGCCGCGCGGCGTCCGGGTACGGGTAGCTCGGCACGGTGATGCGCGCCGGCTTCGTGTCCTTGGCGTCAGCGAAGCGGTTGACGACCAACGCCAGCTGCGAGACGTGGTTGACGGGGCAGGCGGCGGCGTCTGTGCGGAGGACGAGTCCGTCGGCCGGCACGTCCTTCACCTCGTGTTTCGGCTCGAACGGCGACGCGCAGCGCGGCCGCGGCGCGTCGGGCAACGCGCGGTGAGCGCGGAACTTCTTGTGCGGCTTGTACATGGTGGCGGCGCCGTCGGAGAGCGAGCTGCGCGGTGAGTCCGGCTCCGAGCGGTCGGACAGCTCCGAATCGCCGCCGCGCTCGTAGTGACCGGCGGCCGGCGGGCCGCCGCCGACGGACACCCGTCCGTCGGAGAAGTCGGACGCGTCGCCATCGCGGCGCAGCATCAGCACGTCGAAGCGGCGCATCGAGTCAAGCGAGACAGGGCTCACCTGAGACGCGTCGCTGCTGTCTGTGTCAAGCGGGCTGAGCGAGCCCTCCTTGCGGCGACGCCGCGGGTCCTGCGCGAACGGCATGACGACGTGCGGCATCTGCTCCCACGGCCGCTGGATACACGGCAGCGGCGCGACCCTGCGACCCCCGCTGCCGCCGCCGCCGCGCGCGAGGCCCCCGGCCGGGGTCGGCGAGACGGTCGACGAGACGCCGTTGGCTGGCGGCGGCATCGGCGGACGCGCGATGCCCGTGAGCGCGCTAAAGAGGCGCTCGTTGCTTGCGGGCATCTCGTGCTGCAGCGGCGATGAGGATGAGGACGACGACGACGACGACGACGAGCTGGTGATGGCGTACGGGTCCATCTTGAAGGCGAGCAGCTTCTCGCTGTGCAGCGTGTTGAGCGTGCGCAGGTCGGGCACCTTCATGATGAGGCGCGCGAACAGCGACGGACCCTCGGCGTGGTTCTCCCTGATCACCGTCTGCAGTGACTGGATGATCTTGTCCTGCATTTTCTCAATGCACTCCAGATTTCTGATGCCTGGACGGTCTGCGGAAACAACAGTGCTCACTCGTTAACGATCGTAAACTTCGGAGCTTCGGTTCGGGCCCCTCAGACTGTGCAAAGATTAATTACTGTTATCGCAATAATGCAGCCAAGTGCTTATGTAGCCGGCGCCGAGAGCTAAAATCAATGTAATTGTTACTGAAACCAGAAAATTTGTTTACGACCAATAACCACAGTTTACAACATTTCCGACCGACAGATGGCGCCATGTGGTTAGCTGCCTTACACTAGCTTACCTGGCGCAATTAGGACTACAGCACAGAAGAGGCCGATTTCGCCGTCTGTTAGGTGCAGAGTATTTACTCGCTCCGCAAAGTCGAACATGGAGTTGATGAGGAATCCGGCATTGCCCTTTGTTTGCCCGATATCACGCTTGTAGATCTGTCCGTTGACGAACATCATCGTGTTGCTCTGAGGGTCGAACATGCAAGCCAGTCGCACCAGCAGCACCTCAAACACTCCCGCCTGCAAACAGATCACCCACCCCTTAAAACAACGACACACAAAGCTGAGGCTGACACAGAATATCACTTGCGACCATTACTTGCAGCCCGAAGGGATGAATACGTTTCATAGAGTAATAAGATGGATGCACCTATCGAGTGGAAAGGCGAGTAATAGAATAATAATGGAGTAGTGACATCAGCGAGAGAGCCAAGCGCGATCTCTCAAGATTGGTATTATTGATTTTTTTCTAAATAATATGGCAACATATAGGCGTGACATACATTCGCTGCTGCCCCATATCGCATATAAACATGAAGAAGGGGGTGGTCTCCGAATGTACGTACCTTGAGTAAGGTGACCTGGTCGTCTTGGCAGAGTATGCTGAAGCCTGGAATGCGCTTTGCAAATTCCACTACGCCGCGAATGGCCGGAGTGAATTTCTCTGAGAAGTCCTCCAACATTTGTGAGTTGTCCTTGAACCCCGTGCCCGAGGGATTTGGGTTGAGCGGACAGGCCTGCAACAATCGGAGCGAGGAGTTGGTTAACTTGGTTTTCTCATACATTTGGTTTTCTATGTGCCGGTTAATCATGACACACTGCAGGTGTTAGGGACTAATGCTGCATTGCAAGCATAATGAATCTAGATTCTGCTGCGACAAACAAGTCGAGTGGGCCTTCGACTTTTTTACTTCGAGCGCAAACTTTCTTGACGATGGCCATTCATTTATCCCGCTTAATCAGATAATATGAGCCACTTGTATCAAAAGCTTGCAACAGAAATTCCCTACAATTAACCAGAGCTACATAGAATTAATAAGTGTACAGGAAGAGCAGAAAAGATTCCTACTGTAATTCACCATGATTTGACTATTTTACGGACACTAGCACAATACACAACGTTGATTCAAGCTCCACTGTCGTCATCTATGGACACAAAATGGCTATAAAATGTGCACATTTGAGTGTACTTACAATATTCGCCCCGAAGTAAAGAGAAATAAGTTGTGAAGACGTTAATAATGGTAAGATCACAATGACAACACGTTTAACACCTAAAACTTCATCTACACCACAGACTCATTTTCTGCTTCTTCTCTAAACGTGATACAGCATACTTCAATTCAAGGCTCTAACCTAAAATTCAAAGCATTAACAAATGCTACACTACAATTTCGAATCATAGCAAACACATGCTATTATAAATCTCAGTGCAACAAAATAATTTGCTTCTAAAAGAGGCAACATTAGATTGGTACAATAATGCTTGTTAGCGGCAGAAGACTACACACTGCAACATTGCATAATACGTCCTACTTGCATGATCTATTATACTCGCTGTGAGGACAAATCCGACGTGCGACGGAAACTACCAATGCAACAATCGAGTTCATTTCGAGTCTCACCATGCATTACGAAAAAGCAAGCGAGGACAGACGTGTCACCTGAAACAGGAGGCGGATTCTTACCATCTGGGTGGGGCAGGTGGCGTATTTAGGGTTACAGCGCGCCTTGTCAAACAGCGCTGCCACCTTGGAGCGTGTGTACTCGCACGTCTCCATGTGCGCCTGCATGATGGCGTTCATCAGCTTTTCTTCGTCCTCCAGCTCCGCCTGCAGTGCATTGATCTGTGACTGTTGATTAGCTCGCTGCATCTCAGCCAGTATCTTCGCCTTCTCCCGCTTCGGTACCCGGCCGAACCGCACCGCTAAACGACAAAGACGAGCAAAACGTCAGAACAGGGAGTCGGCACAAATGTTACTACGTTTCGATACATTGCAACTAACATGCAGCCAACGCCGCTGGCCTCTTTATATTTTGCCATGTGAGACCGCCAGTGTGTTACGGAATAAGTTGTCAACTCGTGCATAAATACAAAATCTCAAGCTGGGTTTACACTGACGATTTTATGCGGGCGACTTGGCGTTTTTCTTCTTTCTACCAACCTCTCTATAAATATTCAAAGCGACCGCGAGGCGGCAAACGTTTCAACATTTGACCCGTAGGTACGCGCGGGGCACCGCCGATACGAATTTTTGCATGTATTCCACGCCGCCAGCGTGGCGCCCATAGCAAAAACGTGTTCTACCCCTAGGGTGGAGGCACACGCCTCCTGATTGCTGTTCTCTGATTGGCCACTTGGCAAAAAAACGTCCGACTCGACCGCTCCGAGTCGGCGAAATTAGATTTCCCAACTCGCTGCGCCCGATCGGTTGGTCGTCCAACTTTTGCGTTTACACTGCCGATTGTCAGTTGCCAACTGGCCAAGTTCGTACAATTTGGCAATTCGGCAACACAAAATCGTCAGTGTAAACCCAGCTTCACACACCCACTCAGAGCGGTCACATGAGGTCAAAAACGAACAAAAAAGCCGCACGCGTGTGTGCAAACCTCATTCCTAGGGTATCACTGAAAGTGACAGGTATACGCCATTGCCTAAGGGCAGCGATGACACTGTCTAAACAGGTAAACGTGTGTTCTTAATGAATAGCAGCAAGTCATTACCAGGAACGTAATGATTAGTACTATATTAGTTTTGTTTCCTTATGACTACATCCAATTTATCATTGCAGACATTTAGAGTTCCCCATTCGATAGTAAAACAACAATGAGTTTTAAATCATGCCACACATAACAGACGAAGCTAAACATCATTTCTCGGATAGAGGTACGGTAAGGATACGGTGAGGTAGGGCAAGGGTACGGTAACGTACGGCAAGGGTACGGTAACGTACAGTAAGGGTAAGGTGAAGGTACGGTAAGGTTATTTCGCGAAGTGTCTGCGAACCATGGCCTGCTTCATCAAACGTTCAACACCTACTCGCCGGACATCCGCTAAACCGGGGATGTTGTGGAGACGACTGAATACGCGTGAATATTACACGGGACACGTTAGTAAATGGCCACGCGGTAATCTGCATGGACATGTGGAGGCGGTGTGCACTGCACTGCGCTATTATCCCTGCGCGCACTTGTCTAGGAATAGTCGCTCAAGACACGCTACAGCTCGTCGGCAGTCGCCGCCGCGCCGCACAGATCTATCTATGCCGGTAAACTGTACCGCGGAAAAACCTGCATGCAAAACACCGCGCGCCGAATGTGTGCGTTCGAAGACCTTGAATGAAGAAGATCAATTTATCCAGCTGTAAACGTGCAGTGAGAGCAGAGCGCAGTATTAGCATCAGCGGCAGCAGCATATGGATCGATGAAATTATGCGGGGAGTGTCTGCTAATGTGGTGTTGAACGACATGGATTTGTGCCCATAAGATTTTACTGGCCGGCAACTGGTTAACGTTAAAATAGGCAAGTGAAGCCTCAAACACGACGATGACGATGTTCGTCACCGTGGAGTTGAATTTAAATGCGCCAATCTAGTCCAAGGGCAACGTACACGCGCAAACGCACGCTACAGTGCACGCCTACTGTACACGAGTTCGACGAAGGGCAGTAACCTTGAACCAAGACATACTGCTTATAAAAAATACCGCGCTGCAGCTTATGCAACTAGCGGGGAAATCCGCCCTACTCCGGTTTATCACACGCCAGGGAAAGGGATCCTCGTCGTCACAATAGCACATAGTTCACTCGCCGCCTGTTACGCTACTGTCTGGAAACCTGTCAGTTGGTAAATTACAGTCTTCGCTGGTCGGGGAAAGCAGAGGCGCCCATTTATTTGCGTGTTTCGCTGACCCACTCTGCTATTTGAAGCAGAAAAATCCCTACGCGATCCATTCCGAGAAAACTGGTAAAACGAGTTTCGCGGGCCCGCACGAAATTGC